AACTTTGAGTCAGGTTGTCTCTTGAGTAAGAGTCAAACCTTACAAACACGATTTGAGTTGAATCTAAATTAGTCACACTATGGTGAGGATACTAAATGCCATATGAAAAAAAAATTAATTTTTTGCTTTAACTTTTGTCGATGATAGACAAGTTCAGAAAAAGTAAGAACCCAAGCGACGCTTGTAGGGTTTGACTTGTAGGCTTGGCAAGCGTAACCCTACATGACTTGTAGGCTTGGCAAGCGTAACCCTATATACTACTTGTCAACAACTTATTACAAAAACGAACGGATAAATATATTACACAAGGTAATTTATAGACGAGATCCATTGAGTTGTTCAGATTAAACTATAACACGAATGAATTATCGCGTTGATCATTTAACTAATTTATAAATTTAAGAGAAAATTACACTTTTGGTCCCGTGACTATTGTTGTCTTGTTAATTTGGGTATTTGACTTTAAAAATTATCAATTTAGTCCCATAACTATGCAATTTTTAACACATTTGGTCCTCCCGACCAAATCGCCGGTCATCAAATGTTGCCGGAAAAACGTAATTCCTTTAAAATTGTTTATTCATGGGGGCAAAATGGTAATTTCAAGTCAATTTCTTCTTCTTCCCTGTTGGCCGGAATGCAGCGAGACGCAACTATTGGCCGAAATTGCAGCGAGAATTTCCTCATTCGGAGCTTTGAGTATTGCGGCAGAACTGTTGCATATTCGGATACGCGGACATCAAACCATGTGGAGGGAAGTGGGTAATATTCCACTTATGAAATAATGATATAGACACTTAAAACCCACGCTGCTATGTTGATGTGCTGCCACCTTGTTTTGCAAAATTCAATACACTTCAAAAAGACAAAACTTCATTACAAATCAAGCCTATAAATTGTAGGGAAATTAATTGTTGAAGTATCATTACTTCTTCAATTATGTCGACAAAAGCTGGAGTGCGTAGAGGTCTGCTGAAGCTCAGGCCCAAACAGAGGAGATCAGAGACGAGTTTCCACCAACATTCTTAGACCCACCATGCATTCTCGCACAAGAAAGGATGCTAGCAAGAAGAAAGAAGAATACAAGCAAGAAAGATTCAAGAAGAAGGACAGAAGAGATTGAAGCAGACTGTGATTCAGGAATCCGTCGTGTTCGTAAGCCAAGGGAGCCTACTGGAGAATCAAGTGAGAGAGATCGTCGGAGAACCAGCTTTCCCCTTTTTTGTTAACTTAAAATGACCATTTTACCCTCATGAATAAACAATTTTAAAGGAATTATGTTTTCCGGTAACATTTGGCCGAGAGGACCAAATGTGTTAAAAATTGTATAGTTACGGGACTAAATTGATAGTTTTTAAAGTCAAATACTCAAATTAACAAGACCACAATAATCACAGGACCAAAAGTGTAATTTTCTCTAAATTTAAACAGTAACTAACAAACGAATTAATTACTAGATAATCTAAGAGCGAGTAACTTCTATTTTTTTTTTTTTTATTCTCTCTTTATTAGTACCCAACAAAATGCTAACTGGATCGGATAATGATTGATGAACCACGTACAACTTCTCCTTAGATTAGACACTACATGCATCTAGTATTCTAGTGTTATGAAAAATATAAAATACGTACGCATATATATATGATAGTAAAGTAAACGATGCATAGTTAGAAGAAAACAATATAATGAATTGAATAAAGCAAATTAGGAGTTATCGTTTTCAAAGCAACAACGTTTGTTTGAATTGTACATTTGTACGAAGCACTGCAACGAAAGTAATGGAAGAGGCAGTGGTACGTTTGTAACACTGTATGGAGGAACTTTACGTGGGCAAAACTCAATAGAGACAATGCATGCATGTAAAAAGGCAAAAATATGGTAAGCTATGCTTTTCTTCAATTCATAGGTGTCAATTCTAAATCGATCTATCTGAAAGTACAACTAACACTAACGCTCAAACCAATAATATAAGGCAAGACAATAGACAACTCCCATATGATCAGAATCAAGCTTGAAATCATGAGGTTATAAAGTTAACTGTGTGAACAACTTGATTGGGGTTAGGTTATCCTCTTTCGTTTTAAAATTTAGCTAGATCTTAATTAATAATTTAATCATTCACATAAACAATTATAACAAAGGTAGGGCTGCTTAAACTATATTTTTTAGTACTACTAACTCTATAATACAAAGAGTCAATACCTCCACTAGGGTTCAAAATTGTGACCTCCTATTTGAGAAAGTCAAAGAAATGTCATGGAGCTACAAGCTACTTGGCACTGCTTAAACTATATCACCAAAATCGTCAATAACAAAATATAATCAAATTATTACCTGGACATTAAATTTTAAAATATATTGGCCCTGCTTGGTAAAATAGTTAGCCTATCAACCAATTTTGACTTATTTGACCATTATTAACTGTTTGACTTGGTTAAATAATCAACATAAGTGTTTGATTAATTTAGCTTTTTATAACAATATTTTGCTCTAAAATGCTAAAATTCAAAAAGCTATTCAAAGTAGCTTTTTGATAAAGTCATTTTTATGTAATTAGTTAACAGCTAACAGCTAATTTACCAAATATTTTTTTACAAACAGCTAATACTATCAATTAGTTATACCTACTAACTCAATTCAGCTATCAGCTAACCGCCATTTATCAAATACTCCCATTATCATAATCGAGAACTAAATCGGAAGTTAACTCAATAGTTTATAACAATATATGTTTGCTTCATTTGAAGGTAGTTAGTTATATTACTGTATAATATATAATGAGGATAGGGTAGAGAGTACATGTCAATTAATAAATTACTTTAATGACATTGACATACATAGAGGGCCGGGGGACAAGGACAAATAGTGCATATGATTAAGTGTATGTAAGATATACGGTACTGTTTCTTCATTAAATAACTCACATGATATCCGAGCAGCGGTTTCCGCCCCTTTCGCTTTTCTCACCATAAATTTCTTTACAAATATTTGGATATATATTTGGTAATAAAACGTAGCTTACAATAATTTTTTATACTAGCTGATTGCATTTTATTTTTAAAACTATATAATGTCTTCTTTATAAATTATAACTATGACATTAATAACGATAATAATAATAAGGAATAAGGGTCAAATAGGCCTCTGAACTGCACACCAAATTACAATTAGGCCATCAAACTCAAAAAAGATGCAATTAGGTCCCTGAACTACACAAATTTATGCAATTACGTCTAAAATGTCCTATTTACCTGCTATGTAGGTTGGAAATTTTAAAAATAATTTTAAACAAAAAATTAAATAATTAAAAAAAAAAAAAAAAAAAACAGAACGGCCGGAGACGATTTTGTCTCCGGCAGTTCTGTTTTTTTTTTTTTTAATTAATTTTTTGTTTAAAAATAATTTTTAAAATCCGCAACCTCCACGTCAGCAGAGTATTAGGTAAACAGGTCATTTTAGACCTAATTGCAACGTGGTGTACAGTTCAGTGGCCTATTTGACCCTTATTCCTAATAATAATAAGAACAATATTTGAAACAATAAATAATGGTCCAAAAAGGTGGTTGAGTGTGATAAGCATAATTTTCATATTGTCATATGTAGGGTGAAATGTATAGGCAAATTATGCTCTGAGCACGTGCCCACCTTGCAAGGTGGGCACGATTTCATATCCATAATTTTTATACTGTAGATTCATAAAATTTATACTTTAGATTCCAATTGTTAAACTCTATTTTCACAAATCAGAGAACTATATGTTCATAATTTGATAACTATACATTTTAGAAATTATGAATTTACAATACAGAAATTATGAATCTACAATACAGATATTATGAATTTATTGTATATAAATTATGAATCTACAATTTAGAAATTATGAATCTAAAGTATAAATTTTATGAATCTACAGTATATAAATTATAAATCTACAGTATAGAAATTATGAATATAGAACCGTGTCCACCTTGCTCACAGCATAACGTTCCGCAGCGTTCACTATCGGATAATAACCACAGGTTTCTCATGTTACCCAAAAAAAATAGCAATAATATTACTAATAATTTTTAAAATTTATATATCTAAAACTAAAAATAATTTAGTATGGAAAAACAAATGAGGGAAATTAATTTGTTCCAAATGGTTACCAACAAGAGAGTTGAGCATCACCAACCCTTTTAAAAACAAATTAAAGACTACATTAATTACATTGAAAATAACTTATAAACACCGATTAATTAAGTTTACCTTTCCAAAAAAGAACAAAGTGAACATGACAAAAGTAGTAGTCAACCAACATACTTTATCCTCCTAGTACCTAGTCAAACAAGAGTTGATGTATGCAAATACGAAAGCTCTTTGTGAGTTCCATGTGTATGGCTGTTAAGACAACACATAAAACAATATGGGAGGCTACAATATTTTTGTTGGGTGAACCAAACCCCACTTTAGTATCTACAAGAACAAATATACAACATTATAGAATTATATCCCATTTGCAACCAATTAAAAGAATATAGATAATTGAATTGGTCACTAATGATTGGTGTACAAAATTTCATAAGTATATGAACAAATGCTAATAGTGTGAAATTAATGAATAATATTAATTAAAAAAAAACTATATGCACATTAATTAAAGAAATTGAATAGGGATACCCATAACAAATGTACAACTAACTACTATGTATTTAATAATGCACATGTTCATTTAGTAAAGCATACCTATTCATATTGAAAAATAAGCATAAATATGGACAACCTAATGAAGTTAGTAGGCTACACTATTTTCTGTAACCACAAGATTCTAAGTTCCACTTCCAAATCACGGTGAGGAGACAGGACCAAATACTGGTGTACATAAAGGATCTATCCACTTTGAGTATAATCTTCACACTGACACTATGGCTACCAAAATTCAAACCTGAATCTTTTCTTCCAAATACTGTTTACTGAACCAGTAAGCTAGTGAGCTAAATCTGTGCGGGCAACTCATAACTCATTTTTAGCCTGCTTTGTCATGAGCTTTGTAGAGGAAGAAGATAAAACAAATAATAAAACTTGAAACCAACAATTTAATACAAGCATGAATGGTCCAACCCACCCCCCATGAAAGTTCCACCACCTCTCACCTCTCCTCCTTTATATCTCCTCTCCCTGCAATTCCTTCTGATTACAATTAATGCCCTTCCTCCAAATCAACCCACACAAAACTCACAACTTTACACATCCAAACAGCCCCTAATAAAACTCTTCATCTCCCTCCCATGGGCAAGAAAATGAAGCTCCTCCCTTCCATTTTCAAGAACAGAGAGCTGCTGCAGAGTTCATGGCAATGGCCGTCTTGCGCCCAAGCAAAGACCCTTTCTTTCCGGACACCCACCGGCGACGAAACGGCCATTTTCAAGACTGTAAACTCCGTCTTCTCCGACGGGGCTGACTCGCCGGAATCTTGGTTCACCAACACCCCGGAATCCACCAGCTTCTTGACTGATCATTCGGAGGACAGCCACCTGGAAACCATCATACGCGGAGTAAGATCATCGGAGAGGCTGTTTTTCGAGCCCGGCGAACAAACTACCTCGTCGATAATCATGGCAGATCAGTCAAAGGAAAAAACAACGATCGATGGAGAAGAAGAAGAAGGAGGAGAGAGTCCGTTCAAAGAAAGTGTGATTCTGGCCATGGAATCAGACGACCCATACAGGGATTTCAAGAGGTCCATGCAAGAAATGGTGGAGAGCTATTCCGGGATGAAGGATTGGGAATGGCTGCAGGAGCTTCTTGGATGGTATTTGAAGATGAATGGGAATGGGAATCATGGGTTCATTGTGGGAGCTTTTGTGGATTTGCTTATTGAACTTTCTGCTCCCAAAACTTCTGCGGATTCTCTCAGCACTTCATATTCATCTGCTCTTTCTTCTTTATCTTCCCCTACTTCTCCTTTGTCTCCTCTAGGTCACAAGGAGATTGTGGAAGAGCAAGGATGAAGATATAGTTTCAATGATTTATTTCATCACTTTCATTTTTTTTTTTTCCTTTTTATGGGTATATTATTTTTGGGATTCATCCCGAGGGCTCCCACTTGCTCTAGTCTCGGAGTTTTAGTGGAGGAGATAAACCATGGAATGTACTTTAACAGCTTACTAGTTCACCAAATGTTTGTATATTATTATTTTATTAGGTATAAAGTTTCGATACTCTCATTTTGAAGTTTTAGTAAAGGAGGTAAATCATGGAATGTACTTCAATAGCTTTTACTAGTTCACTATATTACTCGATATTATCTTATATTAGGTATAAAGGATAGAGGATGTTGGGTAAAAAAAGCCCATATGTTTTCACTTCTCCTCTATAAATGTGTATTGAAGTAACTATTTTTAAAATTATTTAGATGTTATCTAGACATTGGGTTTAACTTGAGATTAAAAGTTTGGCAATTTTTTTCATGATTCTTGCCTTCTTGGCATGTAATATATTGTGATACAATAACATGTACCAATAATTAATGATACGAAAGTCATTTTGCATATAATCAATTATCAGTTAATAGCTAATTTATCAAACAACTTTCTATAATCAGCTAATGTTATTAACTAGTCAAACTCACTAACCTAATCAGCTAACAGCTATTTACCAAACACTTTTAACTCCTTCTGCCTAGAACTTGTAGGTCAGAAGGCTCAGAAATCTGGGACACAAGAAGGATGCAAAGAAGGCAATAATGAAGGTATAAGGTTGAACCAAATGTACCAGACCACATGGGAGCAAGAAGACATGAGAGTGGCATCTGTCTATTTTACATAGGAAAAAAAGCAGGACATCATAACAGTATAATGAATACTTGTACTTCACCTCACATGCACCAAGAAATGGTCAGTATTAACCAATGCTGCTACAGTGGCATTCATTTCCCTGTTACATCACCATCCTTCTCATTGTCAAGAAGCCAAGAAACACAGTATAAATGTGTATGTATATAAACATGTATGCATATATCCGGACCACCTGGTACCAATTTGAAGGAGGCCTGCATTTAAGAAGTTTGGTAGCTGAAAGGTTTTGGTACCACTGCACAAGTTGGGTAAGGACTGTTTTAACACAATGCTTCTTCCCCGGTTCACGAGATCATCTGGCAAGAAAGCCATGAGTACAACATCCGCGTCTCTGTGGTAAAGAAAGCGCCTTTTCATAGCAGCATGAGTTTCTGTTGCTTGTGTAACAGTATCATACGATATTCAGATCTGTCTTGAAAAACATTCACATCGCGATTACCTAAAACATAAACCAAAGCAGTTCTGATAGGTTTTCATGTCTTATGCAAGGGGTAAAGAAGAGGTATCAGTTTCACCTTTCTCAATCCCAGAATAGTGGTACTCGGGTAGACAACACATGAACAGATGATGAATCAAAGCTTAGCCCCTGCAAGATCTAAAAGAAGACCTGTTCATTAAAAAGAAACTGCAGTTGATAATTCACATCACTGAATGCGGGGTGTTATCACACTGTTACATGTGCTATCTCTGATGCATCTTTTTCTTTTTCTGCATGGTACCCATAAAAGTTATCTACAGTTAATGCCAATCACCCTCCACAATCACATATAGGTTTCGTTAACTGACAGTTGATCAGCCAATGTCGTATCAATTCCCTTCCTTCTTCAGTCCATTTGTTCGCTCCCGAGCTTCTGCAATTGACCATGCCCATACAAGGAAACTCAGTTAGCAACACTCATTCTTATGCATCATGACAGAAGTGGAAAATCAGCATGTATAGATCATGGCTCACTAGCAATTTTCTAGATCAAAATGTTACACGTGTAAACTAAGAAACAGATAACCATAACAATATAATTTCAAGATCATCCAATCTCATCCCTTACTATCAGTCTTAGAAATAATCCCATTTGTTTTCCATACAGTTCTTCTATGCCTTCCAGTTTTATGGTTTCTTCATAAACCAAACATTTCTGTACATTTGAGAGCAGATTTTCTTGTGTATGGCAAAACAAAACTTTCAAGCTCAATGAAGTACAACTATGATACAAAGACAACATTATATAGCTATCAAGAGCAATATAGTCAAAAATCTAATTAACTCAAAAAGGATGAAATGGCACACAAATTTTAAGACAAATTTAAGAGTCCTGTTTCAACTATTAGGCTAGTCCCATGACTCATATAGTAAAGATAAAGAAATACAACACCAGAAGAGAACATAAACTGCGTGTTCGACTCTAACATCACAACCAGAATCTCATCATTGTTCTAGCCAAAAAACTTCCATGCAATTGTGAATCTTCCATCAATCAACCAGAATCGGGAAGAGACTGGAAAACAACTTAATCGGAATCTTCGTACAATTCTCCTTCATCAGAAGGCTCATCAAAATCACGCATGTCAAGCTGGTATCGAAGGATTCCACCAATTCCACCAAACCCTCTGCAGAATTGCGATCCCTCTTGAGACTTATTGGTTACAAATTCAAGTGAACAGCCAAAATTCCTGTATTCATTGGCAAACCACTCCAGAAGCGGCATTTTGTCTTGAACCTCCAACTCAGCAGACGTGGCAGGGTCCTTGAAGTTGCTATGATTAGTCTCTTGGTCCTTGTTAAAGTGTTTAACAATAATCTCATTGGTAACACTGTTTTTCAGCATATATCGATTAATATCAAGATTCTCCCACACAACAAGTGTTTCAACAGCTCCCATCTCAAGAGCTTTTATTGTGTCATCCACACCAAATACATATTTCCCAGTATCTTGACTAATTTCCTCAAAGAACTTCCCTATCAACTTCTTTTCCTGTATGAACTTCACATTAGACAGAATCTCAGCAGACAACTCGATTGCCTGGTTGAAACCATTCTCCCCACCATAAGACACATCAACCACATTAAGGATCTTAGCTTGTAATCGAGGATCAAACATATCTGATTGACTTAGCTCAGTCTTGAAATCAGCAGATCCAGCAAGAATTAACCCAGAAACATTCGGCTGGCTTGTTGCAGGGTTAATAAAGAACTGTGTAGCAAGCTCTGCTGTCTTCCTAACATAATTGTGTCGTTTTTCCATTCGAAGACGAGCAAATCGAAGAGCTGATTGCCCTCCTCTTCCATGCTTCTTTGGGAGATCAACAGTGAATTTGTGAAGCACTTCTCTGGTGTTTCCACTTAAGGTACCAAAAAGGGTGCCATTCCCATCCATGACAATAAAACCAAACTTCTCATCAGATTCCAAAAGTTCACCCAGAGGTTCAGTGTGAAATTTATTGTCACACAGGTATAAAGAAGCATTAATGGGCTTAAAAGGTGCAAAGTCAAAGGTGACCTTCTTTTCTTTCCCATCGTCCGTCACAATAGTTCCTGTATAGAGCACCAGTCCATTCGGGGGAACTTTGTTATAAAGTTTGAGCCTTTGCTGGGCAGATGTTATTGCACCCAGGACTGACTGACGGTTCACTCTGCTTTTGATATTTGATGCAGTTCCATACTCTTCTGCCAACATCTTTGTAACTCGAGATATTTGGTCACCTGGAGGTATGATAAGGGAGATCATGCTGGTACCATTTCCTCTTGCAGATTCTAGAGCTTTAATCAGTTTCTTCATTTTCCATATTTCAATATTCTTGTCATGCTCTTGACCATCTGCCATTGTGGAATGACACCTCAAGGCTTAGCAGCAAAGAGACCTGACCATTTTGGCATAGATAAGAGAAAATTAAATTCATGTTTACCAAGAATGTGAAATAGATGAATGATGGTAAATAAGAAGCACATAAATATAAACCAAGAATAAAATAAGAAAATAATTACTCCGTATTATGCAGTGAAGGTATAAAATAAAATGCATCCTAGTTGCCAGTAATTTGTCTAACAGGTTGTGCAGTACAATACTAGGAAAACAAAAAGCCACAGCCAGTGTATCAAATTCAAGAGTCACAGCCAGTGTATGAACTTCATTCACATATTGTACCTTCAAGAGATCTCGAACCAAGTAAATCAGTTTTTTCTTAACAGAATCCATATTATATCAGCAGAAAGCATTCAGGGCCTCGAGATGCAACTTTCTTTATATGCTTTGCTTGTTGTATAGTTCATTATCTTAAAAAGATAATCAGTAGTTTCACCGTCCCAATAAAACCCAACTTGAAACTAATTACAATTTCTATTTTTTTTAAACGGACCAACTCATTCTATAGGCCATGGAGCAGGAGATATGTGAATATTTTTGCTACAATCCTCCAACAGTTCACCACAAGACCCAAAAAAAAAAAAAAAAAAAAAAAAAAAAAACGATTCTTGGCACTAGTTAGGAAAAACCCATTTAAGTTTAGCTCGATTCAACTCTGGGAATCTTACATACAAAACCATAAATTTCACTTCACAAACATTAAGGCAACATTCAGAGACAAAAATAGTAACCTAAAAAATCAGAGATCCAGAAATTCTCAAACTACAAAACACTAAATCCGCATATTCAAATCACAAGACAGCAGTAAGGCCACGAAACAAACAGATATATCGAATCAATCCCAACACTCGTCAGAAGAAAATCCAAAAAAAAAAAAAAAAAAGACAAAGAAGAAACAGCAACGGTTCCGGGAATGATTTAAGAAGAAAGCTAAATCGGAGCAAACCCAAATCAGATAGCCAAATCGGGGCACGAAAATAAGAAAAACAATCGGAGATAGCGGAGCTAGGGTACCTTTTTTCGGGGGTCGAAGAAGCCTTGAGCAAAGCTGACTCCAAACGCGCAAAGTGTGTATATATTTGGTTTTTGTGTGTGAATTATAAAATTGGATAAAAGTTTGATCCTTTCGAGAATTTTTTTATTTATTTTTTTTTGAATAATTTCGAGAATTTTATTAAATAGGAATTTTGGGCTACAGATTTACGTTTACTTCATGGTATGGTATTGATAAAATGTAAATTTTGGTAAATGCCCCAATTTCCTCCCATACGCAAACAAAACTTGTGGCGAATTTTTGTCAATACTTTGATTATTGGGGTTCCACATTTTGTGTTGGAATGACAATGGGTAGGCCCGGCCCGACTTCGACTTCGACTTTGACTTTTCTCTTATCTTCCTTTTTTGCTATTAATAATGAAAAAAGATATGTTCTTGAACTCCAATTGTAAGTTGGTCAGGGGTGGTAGACAAAAATTCTACTTCAAACTAGAAAGATATGTTGGTTACCGGTAAAAGGATGACAACATGACCTATTTTATTACTTTGTAAGGGTTTTGACAATCACGACTGTTGTCATCATTCTTCTTTTATTTGACGAAATAACTACTAACCATAATGCAATGCAAGTCACCGGCATATATATTTATTTCTTTTTGTTATTTGTGGCTTGACACATAAGCATTACCCGTTTTTACTAGTGGATAATCGAATATTGGGTCTAAATGTACAAAAAATGAGACGTTAATATGTTTAATTGTAATTTTTTTTTAAGTATAAGTGCCTAATTGTTTTTTATGTATATAAAGTTCAATGGCATATTTGACTTTTTTTCCTTTTAAAAATAAAAAATTTTAAGATTTTAAATGTCCACCGTGAACAGTTAACGAGTTCAGGTTAAAATAGGCACTTTTGAGATAATTGAGTGGTAAAAAGTACAATAATTCAAGAGGGACATAAGTTATTATTACTATAGGGAAAAGTGTCAATTTCCTTAAAATTTATTTATGTAGCATTCAAATATAATAATTAGGGTTAACATGGCTTTTTATTTTCTAAGAAGGGGTAATCGCACTTTTGGTCCCTCAATTAGTGCTCATTCTGCAATGTCATCCTTAGTTCTCAATTTGAACACATTTGGTCCCTCAATTATTCGACCATTAAGCAGATTTGGTCCTTCTGTCTGTATGGTCGTTTAACATCGTTTAAAGCATGGGTAAAAGTGGAATTTCACATAGCATTGTTTATAATAAGTATGGGAAATTGCACTTTTGGTCTCTCGATTAGTGCTCAATCTGCAATGTCATCCTTAGTTTCCAATTTTAGCAGATTTGGTCCTTTTGTGAGACCATCAATTTAACTTCGTTTAAATTAGGGGTATAATTGAAATTTCACATAGCCTTGAATATAATAAGCTAATTTTTCCCCTTTCTCTGCCCGGTTGTTATTTCCACCACCGCAGATGCTCCGCCACCGTCGAGAAATGTCTTGGCATCCACCATTTGCAAGTCCACTCCCTACCCATCTTACTGTCAAACTGTTTTCCTCAACAACAACTCTTCTTCCAATGTCTATGAATATGGACGATATGATTCTCCGTCTGCAAATCCTTATCCGCTGCGTACAAGTTTCTGTCATTGATCCAGAAGTACCTTCGTCGCAATTCCAAGTCGTTAACCACCACCGCCGTTCGAGCTCTCAAGGATTGTGAGTTCCTCGCCGATTTAAACATGGATTATCTCTCCAGTTATTTCAAGACTGTCAACGGGACTTCCCCGTATCTCCCGGTGTTGGAAGCCGACGACGTGCAAACATTGCTCAGCGCCATTCTCACCAACACGCAGACATGTATAGACAGCCTGCAAGTGACGTCGTCGACTTAGAGTGTTAGGAATGGGATCGTGGCGCCGCTGGCGAACAACACGCGGCTGTTTAGTATTTCTCTGGCTTTGTTCACTAAAGGGTGGGTGCCGATGAAGAAGAAGGCCGCCGGCGCCGGAGCTTGGCGTCCGACCAAGAAACAGCTTGGGTTCCGGAGCAGGCGTTTGCCTCTGAAGATGTCGGAATGGACGAAGGCGATTTTCGAGCGAGTTAGTCAGAGGGACCAATTGTGTTCAAATTGAGAACTAAGGATGACATTACAGATTGAGCACTAATTGAGGGACCAAAAGTGTGATTTCTCATACTTATTATAAACAATGCTATGTGAAATTCCACTTTTACCCATGCTTTAAACGGTGTTAAACGGCCATACAGACAGAAGGACTAAATCTGCTTAATGGTCGAACAATTGAGGGACCAAATGTGTTCAAATTGGAAACTAAGGATGACATTGCAGAATGGGCACTAATTGAAGGACCAAAAGTGCGATTACCCCTTTCTAAGAAATAAAAAATTGGCCACGGATGTTCACCATGGCTAATGTCTTCGTTGGCCATTACGATGGCTAATTTGGTTATTTGGCGAATAATTCAATGACATATTTGACCTCTATTCTTTTAAAGTATTATTTTTAATTGAAAATTATATTGTGTAATAGTTTATTTGTTTTTTTTTCTTTCAAGGATATTTGGATATGATTTTTCATGGTGTAATCATGGGGTTTTGTTTAATTATATCTATCAATTTTATATATTTTATTTTATGATATGGATGTTTTATTATTTTTAATAGATTAAAAAAGTTGACTACCATTTTAATTGATTTGTTAAAGACAATCTTCTAATTATCAATTCTCTTGTTGACAAATAATTGGATACTTGAATTCAACAACTTGGGCATATAGAAAAAGTGTATATAAAAAGTTTCCATACAAATTATAAACACATGTACACTTCAGAAATTAAATATTAAACTTATAATATCTGAACTTAAAATTAAAAATATATGTCACTCATTCACTCAACCACAAATAATATATATTGAACTTAGAGTAAATACTCAAAATGGTCCCTCGACTATAGCTAAATTCACAAATTGGTCTTCGACTTTCAATTTCAATCAATTAAGTCCTTAACTTTGCAATTTTGACACAATTTGGTCCTTCATCTATTTGGCCGTTTGTTGACCGTGATCTTTGAGGATATATATGTAGTTTCACGTGCAAAGCTCAAGAAAACACTCTTGGAGGTGACATAATTGTTTCAGAGGGGGAAGTGCTTCTCTGCTTGCTGCTTGGGGATCACGAGCCGGTTCAGCTTAGAGAACGCTCTTGGAAGTGACAGCGCCGTTTCGGAGGGGGGAAGTGCTTCTCCGCTTGCTGCTTGGGGATCCCGAGCCGGTTCAGCTTGCCTACATCGCTTGGAGTCACGGTTTTCTCGAAGAGCCACTCCAGGGACTTCGGCGATCTATCTATCAAAAGCTATAATCTCTCCGGCATGGGGTGCAGCGCCAGCAGTGGATTCAAATGTAACAGTGCGGTCTAGAAATGCAACCGGAACGTTAAAAAACCGACGATGGACCATGAAATTACATATATATATCCTAAAAAAGCGCAGTCAACAAACGGTCAAACAGACAAAGGACCAAATTGTGTTAAAATTGAAAAGTTAAGGACTTAATTGGTTGAAATTAAAAGTCGATGACCAATTTGTAAATTTAGCTATAGTTGAGGGACCATTTTGGATATTTACTCTTGAACTTATAATATATATTACTTGATAGGGCCTCAAGGCTAAATCCAATAAAGCAAGAATGATTCTCACTTAAGGAGTAATAAGATTGGGTTGAAAATACTAGGAAAATGGGACGTGAAATATGAAGATGCGGAAAATTTGAGAATATAATTAACTTATCAGCCAAGTTGTGAATATGTGTGCCTTAGGGCATATATTGGCTCATGTCTGGTAATATAGTTAGCTTATCAGTCAATTTTAATTTATTTGACCACTATTAGGGGTCGTTTGGTTCGCTAGAAAATATTTGAAGGGAAATGGAATTGAAATTCCATGGAAAATAAATTCCAAGAAAATAGATTTCATTGTTTGGTTGGTGGAAAAGAAATTACTAGGAATATGAATTCCATTGTTTGGTTGAGTTTGGAATGGTAAGGAATAATGAGTATAATGACAAATATAACCCTACACAACAATAATAATATAATAATAATAAAAGTAATTAATAAAGAATGTTGAGGGTAAAATTGTCATGTTAGTTTTCCATGGAAAACAAAATACCTAGCATGAGCTAGGAATTTGTTTTCCTCATCCTTAAGGAAAACTTTTTCTTATGGAAAATGTTTTCTATCCAACCAAACAACATAAAACATCATTTTCCTTCACTTTTAAGAAAACGATTTCCATGAAAAATGTTTTCCATCCAACCAAACACCCTCTTAGTTGTTTGATTTTGTTAAAATATCTAATATAAGTGTTGAGTTTTTACCCATTTTGGCCCCTTGACTATGGCTCATTCTCAATTTTACATTCTGACTTTTAATTGCACTCAATGTGGTCCCTTGACGTTTAAAAATTACCCCAAATTAGATCTCCGTCAGATTTTACGTTAACTTGGGGTTAAGATTGAGGATATTTCCGTCCATTCACCTCCTTGCACCTATGTCAACTGCTATTTGGATGTCCACATCACCTACGACCCCTTCCCGAAGTCCATTGGATGCGTAACGTGAAGCACTCCAACGCATTCCTCCACCGAGGTCTGGAAACTCTTCGGCTGGCCGAGATCGGCCTCGAAAATGCGCAGTCTCTCCGATGATGCTCCAGGCAAACTCGTGAGATAGCTCAGATCTCTGGTCAGTGACCTCACCGTGGTGTTAACGGAGTAGCCATCTTCAAGTTGTCAACTGGACATTTCCCGTGAATTCTGAGTTTTCATATCTATTCAGACTCTATTTTTGCGAGTTTGATCCCGAAATTGATGCCATCAATGAACGAGTTCTCTCCGTGGACATAGCGAATACAACGGATGAGAGATATTTTGATGTTTTTGAAAGGGCATGCGGCTCCAAAATCCGATCTTCACGGAGTACATATTGCATGTGCCGGCAATAATATTGGATGGTCGCCGGAGCAAACAATATGTTTCAATGGCTATAAGGCCTAACATGGAAACCCGACCTGTATATGCGAATGCGCTCTTCTGCGTTGTACTTTTCTCT